GCCTGGCAAGATCTGCCAAGCAGATCTCAAGAACAGGTGTAGGAAAGGCTGGGGCTGAAAGGAGGAGGAGACATTTCTACTTGATAGGGGAGCGGAATAAGGTTTAATATAATCTCCTCTTTAGAACTTCAATCCCTCAATCCCACATTTAGCCTTGTTGCCTTGGGCTCCTTTTTACTACAGTTGTCCCCAGGCTGCCTCTCTGCAGTAAATTTTGTAGTTGCTGGTTGAAAAGATTCAGTAGTATAGATTGATTTCCTACAAGTGAGGAGATGAGGGATTACCAAAAGCAGTCCTGGTTAACAAGATTGGGTGCAGAATCTCCTGCTAGAGCAGCCCACTCTGCCAATGCTTTGCATCCTTTCACTATGACATATGGGTTTCATTACACAAAGATTTTCCTGATTTTAACTTGGAGGCGATTACATTGGAAACTCAGAGCTATCTTTACATCTGTAGCAATTTAAAGGTTAAGTAACTTTTAATCAAATGACAAAGACTCATAATGTTTTTTCCTCAACTGAAAATGAAAACTGCTGTTCCGGATATTCCTTCCAGTGACAATTTAATTAGAAAAAACCACTGCACTGGAGATTGGGGTCCGGCCTGATTGCTCCCCATAAAAAGCCTTCTCACACATATGACAGAACAGGACATACTGTATCATAAGGTCTGGATAGCCAGGAAATAATGGAAGGATTTACTGCTGTAAAATCAGCAAGGAAAACAGTGATTTACACTTACATAAGCAACTTTCATCCAGGAGAATCCCTAAGCAACACACACACATACAGACTTTTTAAACATAATATACACTTAAATGCAGAAGCACAACACACTTGGTGATAAATACACACTGTATTTATCACACATTCCTCATGAACATTATACCTTCACTGCTTACTACTTCTGGGCTTATCTAAAAATCTCCAAACAAAGCCTGCAGCATCTTCAAATTACAGATACTTTAAAATGAAGTCACTTGCTAAAGAAGCACTTCTCTGCCTCTCTCCCAGATGTACAGCTTATGGGACAAATTTGACTGTGATCCTCCTCTAACCTGAAAATATAGCCTTGTTAAAATCTAAAGGTCTTGCTACTAAAAAAAACCAAAAATACAATTAATGTTTTTAGCTCTAAAATGTCCTGTAATATCACATTTTGACTGCTACATTCTTGACTACAAAAAGGTTACTTTAAGCACTGTCATACTTTGTTGGCTTATTGGTTATTCCTCCCATTCAGTTGTATTTATGGTTACTAAAGAACCTGTTTTTCAACATGGAAGAATTCCTTTTAATGTACGAATCATGAACTCTCAAACTACTGCTGTGTCTTAGGCCTACACAGGAAACAAAACTAAAAGGGTTGATTTCTGAAGAACTGTCCACGGAAATTACCACTTCAGGACATGAATTGCAGAGAGACAGCAGAACACTCCTCTGGTTTTTAACCTTCTGTCACAAGAATCTGTTGCATCAAAAATGATTTCTTACATGCTGAGATACAGTGTTAGGATAAGAAGACACAACCATTCTTCTTCTTAGTTGGTAGAGCATAAAAAAGGCCTAGAGGAATCTGCCTCTGAGTGACTGTGGGAGTTCTGCTTGACTGAACTTGTGAAAGCCAATCGCAAAGTCACGTCTTTTAGTTGGGCTCAACTAACATTGCATTTAGAAGGAAAATAAAAAAAAATAAGTCAGGGGGAAGGGTTGAAGGCAAAACCATAATTTAAAATCAGTAAAATTATTTAAAATTGGCATTATTACTGAACAGCCCTCAAAGAAAAAAGAGGTTGAGCTTCTATGAGAGAGAGATCTGTATGGACCACTTTCTGTCTCAAACCACACTTCCAAAATCCTATTATCACCTGGATGCCTGCTGGCACTAGCTCAATCCTCTTTTTTCACAGAAAGAGCTCCAATTACTCTGCTGTGTGCTTCCTAATGTAAAACATAAAATGAGCTGCTACTTGAAGACTGTGGGCCTTTGACAAATACTTAGCAGTGAATGCTACCCCAAGCCCAATTTCATAAAGAGCTGAACTGCCATCTCAGGAGAGCAGCAAAGCAAAGTCAGTTGCCTTCACTGAAGGCAGAACTGGCACATACAGGTACTCCGAGCCATGCTTCAGGAACTGTTACACTGGCACTGAAGACCACGGCAATCACCTGGAACTCCTGAAACACATTCTTCAGGTAAGACAACAGAATCAGCATAAACCTCCAGGTGGAACAAGCCTGCATTACCATGGCATCTTTCAGTAATCAATATCAAAGCACTTGCAAAGTTTATCAAGACTCACAATATTCCTGAGACATAAAATTATTTAATTCCCACCTTACAGATGGGGTCACAGCCTCAGTAAGGAGAGGTGTACAGAATTTTGTGGTTTAACCCCAGCCAGCAGCCAAGTCCCACACAGCCACTTGCTCACTCCCCCACCAGCAGAATCCGGGAGACAATCAGCATGGTAAAAACTAGAAAACTCATGGGTTGAGATAAAGGCAGTATAATAGGGAAAGCAAAAGCTGCACACACAAGTGAAACAAAACAAGGAATTGATTCACTGCTTCCCATGGGCTGGCAGGAGTTCAGCCATCTCCAGGAGAGCAGGGCCCCATCATGCATAATAGGTACTTGGGAAGACAAACGCCATCACTCTAAACATCCCCCTCTTCCTCCTTCTTCCCCCCACTTTATATACTGAGCATGATGTCATATGGTATGGAATATCCCTTTGCTCAGTTTGGGTCACCTGTCCCAGCTGTATCTTCTCCCAGTTTCCCATGCACGCCCAACTTCCTTGCCAGTGTGGCAGTATGGAAAGCAGAAAAGGCCTTGGCTCTGTGTAAGCACTGCTTAGCAAAAATATCTTTGTATTACCAACCCTGTGTTCAGCACAAATCCAAAACACAGCCCCATACAAGCTACTGTGAAAAAAATTAACTATACCCCAGCCAAAACCACCACAAGATGTATACTAAAAGGAGTCAGAAACTGTGCTAGAATTCAGGCTTTGAAAGATGAGTTCTGTCAAGTCTTGCTGTAGCATTTTTAAATATTAACATCCCCTTGGTACAAAGCATCACCATCCTTCCCTTGGTGAATGCAACAGCAGCATGTGCCCTTGTTTCAGCTGTAGTTCAGAGTCTGGCATGACTTGCTTTGAAATGCCAAAGAAGGTAAAAGCTTGCACAAAGCCAGGCTGTGAAACGGAGCAGCTGAGACATGGATCGCTCCTCCCAGTCTGCTATGAAAACAGTCATCTCCAACAGAGAAGTGGTGAATAACTGAGACTGATAAAGTTTTAAACCACTCAAACAGTTTAGTGAGTGTTAGCTAGAGCCTTGAGAATTAGAATCAAACACTTAATGCTTTCCTGAATTACGAAATCCTCACGTGACCTCTTTTCACCTTGTTTTTCTCCATCCACAGTAGTGGTGTTTTATCCTATACCTGATAAGAGATCTCAGAGATCGTTCAGGATTATCCAGCATAGTGATAACAGATCTGCTGCAGATAAATATAGCCTCAAAAATATTATTGTTGCTATCAAGAAATACTAAAATTATATCCGCTCTAAAAAACAAATTAGATTCCTTCTCTGCAGAATAATTTACCTTGTTCTCCTAACCAGATTTCCCTACCTTGCAAGGCAGTACCGTTCTTTTTGCATTCACTTGCAAACAATGATGTTCACAGAGCTTCAAATGCAGAAACTACAAACAGTATTCATTCGCACACAGATGGGCAAAGTCAGTCATTGAAAACACTCAAAGCAAGGGGCAAAGACAACCCTGCCAATGCCCAGGGAGCTACTAAACTTATGTTCCAGGCCATGGATATTAGGACGTGCAGGTATTTTGTTCTGAGTGACCCTCCGTATTATAGGAAGCTCCGAATTCTAGGAGCTGCTTACAGTCAACATCCTATGGGGCCAAAGACCTGATCCCTTTGACCCCCAAAGCAGGGAAAGAGTTACATCTTCTCTCCACAAAGCCAATAAAAACCTCTCTTGATTATAATTTAGATAAGAGCCACTGGATTGAATAATAATATCTGAAACTCCCCTGGCTGTTTCACCTTGAGACGTCCATCACTGGGTTAAACATGATGCTAATTGCATTTGGATTGATTAATTTCTCTCACTCCTGTCTATTCGAATAATGCTTAACAAAATAATCACAGCACCCAGAGCCAAATCTTCTCCGTCAAAGGAATGAAGCCATCAGAACCAGCAGAGATGAAAGAAATGAAGATGACCCGTAATTACTGCTACGGTGATATCATTACCATATTATAGAAAATGAGTGTACATGGGGGGAGCGGGGGCTGCGATTATTATTTATTTTTTAATGGAACTTCACATCCCAAGAATACAGATCTGACACACTGGAGCATACAGAAATACAGAACTACAAAATTATTGTGTATTAAATTGCAAAATACAGTGAACACGGGGACTCTAGATACATCAAGTGTCCTGTACTGTGAGCTGCTGTTTATTCACTTCACTATTTTTTCATTGCAATAATACTCTGTGTATGACTAGCATAGAGATTTAAGATGTCTCCCTTCCCAAAAAGATCAAGTACCTATAGCAGAACTCACCCATAACCTTGATGCTAAAGTCATTATCTTTTAATATCATTACAAGTCATCTTTCTTTCAATGCTGGCATTCAGATTTTTAAACCTGAAGACCTAATTTGATGCTCAAATACATGCTATCATGCAAGAAATTTTTATTCTTAAATGCTGATTCCTATCTGAAGGCAGTTATAAATTACATTCCCAGCTACAGCAGATCACTTCCAACCATTCAATATGCTGGTTCTGTAAAGATATCAAATGTATCAAGTCTGGAAGAATTTAAAGCAGGATTTGAAAAAAAAAAAAAAAAAAAAAAAAAAACAACAAAAAAAAAACCCCACACAAAAACCCCAAAACAACCAAACCCACAATCCTAGCATACAAACTGAAGGCCTTCTGCTCCCTTTATTTTCCAAAACACACTCCCAAAGCCCCTCTCATTTGAGAAACAAATAGGTTGGCAATTGTGTAAGATCTACAGACACCTGTGCACTGCAATTCTAATTGTGGTTTATACAGTTCACTTCTCTCAGTGCTCCTTATGTCTGCCCCCTAGCCTCAGACCAAAGACAAAAAAACTACACACAACTGGCAGCTTAAAATATTTATTCTGGAGTAAAGCCAAGGTCAAATACACAAGAAAATTTCACACGCCAAAAATGTCAAGACCTAAGACCAGGCACTGACTCATGAAGCTAATTAAACACCAAAAAATGATGTTCAACTATTTTGTAAGGCTGAAAAAAAAAGATAGAGTTAATACTTCTGATATCAAAAGCAGTAAGAAAGGTGATTTTATATCAAAGTTGAGGATATTTTCAAATATACCTGAAAGATACTTTACTAGCATAAGTTATCACTGGAACAGCTACAGTTTAGGAGAGTTCTGACCATCAAATCCCACAGATGTTGGAGGGAAACAGCAGGATAGAAATGGGGCATGTTTTTACAAGAAGCACTCTAAAGGGCCTTTTTCTACCTGCTTGTACCAAAAGGAAAATAATCTCTTCCTGGCTTCCAACACCTGCAGCAGATCAAGAGTTCTTGATAATTTAGGCTTTCTCACAATAGTATCTAAAAGAAGAATCTTCTTTATGGAGCAACGTGGAAAAATGAGATCAAAACAGCTTGCTCAAGAATTCTCGGGCATAAAACACAGGAAGAGGCTCAGCAGAGAGGTCTCCGTTAAATATACGCACGTAGCCACGTATGAAAGGTTTCTGGAGGTGAATGGACCCTTCCCAGAAGGCATACGGGCAGAAGTGCTGTCCATGCTCCCACAACACAGTGCACCAGGATGCAGTGCCCCTGCCTACGCTGGGGAGCAGGTATTTAGTGGCTGGGAACAAAGCAGGAGAACCGTGAAAGTAACAATTTTTTTTAATTTTTATCAGTGGCCAGGGCATGGAGGCCATGGCCAAATCTGAGCCCAGGAGCCAATAGAAACAAAGGGATTAAGAGTTATTAGGAGTAGAGAGAATTACATATTTACAGTACAGTTACTGAAAAATAATCGTGTAATGATTATGTAAGTCCCTATATTCCTTTTGGCTAATAACACTGGGATACAAGCTGTATGGTTATGCAAGCCAGGGCACACAAATCCAATCAGAAGACATCAAGGCATGTTTATGGGGAGGTTTGCAGCTCTGGATCAAGAACAGTACAGCTGCCTTGACCTCCAAAATGGAGAAACAGGCCCCTGTCAGTAAGTTAGCTAATGGCCTGAGCTGTGAAAAAGAACTGCATTTTTAAATTTAACATCTGTCAACAAACTTCATGTGAAGAGACACCTAGATGAAAGAAGGTCATAATATGGTAGTCTATTTATTTGTCCAGAAGTATGTCTTTATTTTAAAAAGTAGACTAAATCTTTAAAATGTTTTCTAATCCCAAGATTCCTTATTGAAACATTTTTCCATTTAGGTGACAGCAGCCCTTAACAAAACAATGAATTATCAATATTGAAGGTCTCTATGAAAGGAAGATTCAGGGTTGTCTCTATGAAAAGAAGATTCATGGGTTTTGACTGAAAAATATTATTTGACTTACACATGATTTAAACCAAGATTCCTTTTGCCATTAGTACAACACATTAAATTACACAGAGAACTTCCATGATTTACAAAAATCCAAGTAAAAAGTTTGTATGGCCAAAATAAGAAAATTATTGAAATCTCAGTGTTCCAAGGTCAAAGTCTCAACCTCAGTTAAAAAAACAAATTACAGAAAAGTAGCAATTATGCAGTTCGTGGGCTGCAGAAGACAAACCTTCTCAACTGCCTTCACCATTTTATTCTTCCTTTTACATGAATCAAAGGTGCTTTACTTAATGACTACCCTTATTCCTTTCCTCATCTTTCCCAGTGTATTCACTGCTTGCTTTACTCCAGCATTTTAAGTTATACTGCTGATCAGTTTCATGCACTCTGCCCACCTCCTCTTTCTGAGCAATCCTCTGAGCTGAGGAGTATTTGAGAGACCAGAAGAAGGTTAAGGGAATTCAGAACCATCTTTACCAACTCCAAGTTGTTCACAAGACATCTGAGGAAATGCACTGATACAGAAATGTTACAGTTTTTCCAAATGCTACTAGAGTCAAGTTTGAATGAATAGAGAAAAATTGTTGTTACCTGGAGAAACTATACCTAATGACTAGTGTTAATCTGATCTACCTGATAACAAAATTGTAATACCACTCAAGTCTGTTCAGAATGGGTATTAAAACAAACAATGTACATTCTGCTAGTTATTACAATTTAGGTGTTAATGAGCTTAAAGGAAGCAAGGTAAGCCTCAGCTGTAAAAGCAGATGTAAAAGATGCACCCAAAAATACACCCTCCTAGACCCACAAGGAAATGTGGGAACATTTTTCATAAACACCCTCACACTTCTAGTATCAATGGCTTTTGAAGAAAAGCTTAAAAATACAAGAAATATGGAGGTATTGGAGTCTGCAGATATGTCCTGAGAGTAGAGACCAGAAGAAACTCCAGTTTTTTGGAACCCAGAAATAAAGCCAAAACAAACAAAACAACATTATTTTTTGCTCCAGACGGTCTGCTGAGAGTAGTCCAGTAAGCTGTGGTACTCTTGCTTCCAAAAATCTCTTCATGTTTATTCACAGTCCATGCACACCACTGGTCTGAGTCCATGTCTACTGTTACTTCTCTTGTGAAAGCTGAATACAGTGACACTGCTATCTTTTAATGAGCAGAGGAGTGTTCTTCATCCATTACTAGAAACAAGGAACAGAGGCACTGCAGCGAAGCAGATGGCAAAACATCTACAAGACAGTTTGGAAAGTAAAGCAGAAGGTGGTGATGGCCACGAGGAGTCTCCATAGATTTGGTGACTGGAGAGACTGCTCTGAGGGTTGAGGGGCACTGCAAAAAAACTTCCAAAACTTTGGAAGTCAGGAGAACTCTGAAGACTCCATGATCCAGTGACAACGGGATTATCAGAAGCATTTAGAGGTAGAAAGGCATAGCAGAGTAGAAGTATAAATAAGTGGAAGATATAAGAAAAAAGTGATTAGTGAAGAAAATTTGATCTACCAAACAAGAACAGATCAAATGAAAAGGTATACAGTAGAGTGTCATATGAGGAAAATTATACAGATACAGACAATCGCTCAGTGTTGATAGAACCTTGGCAGGTCTCCAGTTAACCTTCTGTTCAAAACAGACAGGTTGCTCAAGGTTTTACCTAGTCAAGTCATAAAAACATCCATGGATAGAGACTGCACAACCTCTCTTGGCAATCCTTCCAATACTTGACTGCTCCACACTGAAAAAGTTTTCTCTTGAATCAAGTCAGAAACCTTCTTGCTTTAATTTATGACTGTTGTCTCTTGTCCTCCCACTAAACAACCTCCTTGCAGGTTCTAGCAGGCAGCTATCAGGTCCCTGTGGGGTCACCTCTTCTCCATGCTGAACGGGCCCCATTCCCTTGGCTTCTGTTCACTGGACAAGCGCCCCAGCTCCTGATCATCTTGATGGCCCTCCATTGAACGCACTCCAGTTTACCAGTGTCTTCTTTCCTGCTGGGACACAGAGGACATCACTGGATGTGGCACTGCAGATGCAGTCTAATGACTGCTGAGTAGAGGTGGACCATCACTGCCTTTGATCTACTGCCCTGATGTTCAAATCAGCGGATGTACATGCAATCCCACATTCCTTTCACATATATTACTTACTTGCTGTATTCCTTTACAACACTGTTTCCTAGCCTTTAACCTTCTACCCACCCACTGCTTTGCTTGTTGTTCCAGGAAACCCAAGCACCATAGTCAAGAGTGAGGGCATTTTATGCCCTGAGACAGGGAAGGAACTGTTTGCTCCTTTAAGTTTTAGATGCATATGTTAGTAAACACAAATTTTAAGCCATTTTTTTTTAAATTAATATGCTCCCCATTTTCAAGTAAGACGGGTACTAGACATGAAAATCTAGAGGCAACCCAGAGAACTATCTGCTGAAAACCAAATGAGAGCTTAGCCTGCTACCCAGAAACATCCATCGCCCATCCCTTTTCTGTTGGGATTTGTGTTGAATGACGTCCTCTGCAGGTTAACAATTAGTTTTTAGCATAAGAGTCCTGTGTCATCATTGTCATCTCCCCAGGGACTGAAACAGGCTGAGTGATTTTTAGATTATATGTTCTGATAAGACACAGGCTCCTGACTCTGTGCTTGTGCCACGCAGGCCACCTGCTCTATGGAGCTGCCACTGGGGACACGGTCGACCAGGTTTAATAATGGTGTTCTCTCTAGAGATGTAACTCAGAGCATGCTCAGAATTTACGTTCTATATCACTGATTAAAATCTTGTACATAAAATCCTATAAATAAATAGGATCTAAGACTAGTTGCTAAAAAAGACTATAGAAATGTTAATTCCTGTTAAACAAGAATCTGTCCAGTCTGTAGTCATAAAAACTATATGAGTACAGGAGTTGATAGAGCAGGGTAGATCCATAATCTACCCAGTCAGATATCCTGTTTGACTTCACCCAAGATCAGAAGCATCACAGGAAAAGATAAAGCAATGAAGCACATTATTAAGACATATGGAATGATTCTTTCTGAAAGATTCCTCCTCTTCTTAAGTGCTTGCTTTATATCCTGAAGCAGCTGGTATTTTCTACTTCATTTTAGATTTTATTCTAACTAGAAATGTTCTCATCATCCCTTTAATTGCCTGATTTCCTTTCAATAGCTGCTAAGTACTTGGTCTAAAAAAAAAAATAATCCCAGTGTGGCAGAAAGTTCCACATCAAATTATTCATTATATAAAAAGCATTCCTTTTTGCTACTTTTAATCTGACTAGCTTCCATTACTTGTTTTCTGAATTTCCCCCACTCATTCTTTTCAGGGTTGTGAGTCAAAAGAAATTTGCAATTTATCTTCTCAGTTGTAGAGATGTAAAATAACAACTGTGCTACCTTGCAAAGTCAGAGATCCTCCTTTCCCCCCCACATTATCATGAAGAAAACTCTTGATTCATAAGCAGCTCTCTAGAAGTCAGTGGTGTATTTTACACTATCTCAAAATTATTCCTATCAAAAGACTGCCCGAAGTGACAGTATCTGAAGTTACAGCACAGAGAATGAGACTTCCTTCCTTCCTGGGAAAAGATTGTTTATGCAGAAACACAATTATTAAATTCAAGCAGAAGAGGTGGGAAGCAATATAATAATTTGCTGTGACTTGGAGATTCACTCAAGCCTGAAGACATACAGGCATAGAGCAATCTGCCTGGCTTCACCATGCTGGGGACTGTGCTCCCACTTGCCTATTCTGGACCATCCCGGGAGCTCAGGAGCTTTGAGGGGCACATGCAAACCTGGTTAAATGCTTCCACATCCACCAACTGCACCCAAACTCCAATCACTTTGAGTAAATTCTCCAGCAAGTTCAGATGAATTTGTCATGAAAATTCTGCCAAACAGCAAGTTTTTAATTCTGAAACACAAAAATCGTACGAAAACCATCAACATACAGAACAACAAAGAAAAAACATGAAGAGAAAGAGAAATGGAGAAATGGTTTGATACAATTCAGAAGTGTGTGTAGAAATGTATGGAGATCTTGACAACAGTCAAAATAAGTGACTTGTTCCATCTTTGCAAGTGGAAAAAGATTTGTCAAGATCAGACGAAAAGATTCTGGAAAAGGTAATACTATAAGAATTTGAATAAGAGCTGTGTGGGTAGGTAGGAAAGGGTTTTTTCCATAGGTGTTATATCAAAAAATGGATGAAGATTTAGATTATAGTTTGGATGCCTAGACTTACTGAAGAGTGAAACATTATACCTGGCCCCAAGGGATAAGTGAGCAACAGAACAGCAGCAGGGTTCACAGCCATCGAAAGAAGGATCACAGACAATTTGTTTGACACAGGAGGAGGAGAAAGTAACAAGCTCCAGTTTCAACATATACTCAGGTCCTCAGATATAAGGGAAACAAAGGGGCTGCTAGGAAACATTTTTAATCCTCTAGGTTCTAGAAAGGTAGCAATGTTCATTAGCTCCCAATGTGCTCTAAATACTCTGAAATGTGTATGTTGCTAACTTACAGTCACAGTACAGAACAATATACAAACAATACGAGGCAAACAAAGCCATGCTACATAGTTCAGACATGGGCATTCACACTAACTCCACGTGATAGTTGTATTTCATGTACATAAATTTTATCATGTTTTTCAAATTATTTGGCTGCTCAGGAGTAATAAACACTACCTTGCATGAGCACCATAATGCTTGCACAGAAATTATATTACCAGCATTATCTACTGAAAAGAGAACAAAGATAAAAGAATATTGAAAAGACGGGAAACAAAGATAAAGTGTTACAGAACTGATGTTCTCTTCATTCATAGCACAGATTTTTCACTTCTCAGTTTCATTGCCATAATCAGTTACCATTTGAATCACTACACCACAGCTACATCCCAGTATCCTCATGATTAAGTTAGAAGCAAGTGATACCCACTCTAAATATCGCCAACATTTGCAATTTCTCCTTCTCCCTGCGACACACATGCAAAGGGCCTATAAACTCCTACTGTCATCAGCCTAAGAAATGCCCTTGACTAGGACAGATGTTGCCATGGGCTTGAAGAACTTGTACCCTCTCTAAGAATCCAGCAGCAGCAGGTCTTTTGTTTTATCCAGTAGGCAGGGGGCACTCAAAATCCTCATCTGCAGCTATGCACCAAAGGGAAGAGGTCTGGCCTGCAGGATTTCAGATTTCATTTAAGGCAGTGCTTAGCAAGAAGAGAGAGCAGAAGGTACATTTTCAATGCCATCTGCTGGATAAGACAGACAACTCTAATAAAGGCAAAAACCCGCTCTTTTCCATCTATCATCAACTCTTACCAAGGTTGGCTTGATCTTGAGGAACAAATTTCTGACTTTTGTGAATTATAACTTATATTCTGGTCAATCAAATTGCAAAGCTTCATTAAATGTGCCCCAACTGTTTGCAGAAATCATTAACACTATGGATATCATAGTGTAATTTCTCACATAGGACACCACTGTCATCATTCTTATAAAGAACACATTCCTCTTGTGATAGTGTTACCAAAGCAATTCTGAAGACTCTGACAGAATGACCCTCTTGCTCTATCATGCCATTTAGACAGCCTATTGGATCACCTAAATTCGGTAAAAAAACGAGGGATTGACATGAAATGAAGTCTGGTATGAGATGGATATAATTCATATAAGAGATGCAGGAACAGATTGCACTCCTAGGTCCTCAAATACAAAAATTGTACTTGCTGACGTGAAAAAACAACAATTGTTAATAAACAGATATTCTACTCTTCAACACTCCATATGGCAGTCTGATGGATTAAACACCAGCAGAGTGTTGATCACTCTAAAAGCTCATATTGAGATGATCTGGAAAATCTGTCTATCTACAATTTACGAATTCTGGTTAATTTAATTAAAATGCTGCATCACTAAGTGCCTTAATATGGGGAAAGCCATAAGCTTGTGAGGTTCCTGGCACATGCCTGCCTTCAGAAGAAGCTACAGAACAAATTAGCAAGAGTCTCCTTTTAAATTCGGGATACACAAAGGAAGACTCCTGAGTTAGAAAATCTAAGTGTACACGTAGGGAAGAAGAGAGCAGAAAAATCTCCAAAATAGGCCAAGGGACAAGTGATACAATAAGGATAAGGATGCCAGTAGTGTAACGAAAAAAGGACATAGGCTGTCGAGGTACTGGTGACCTCTTTGAAAGGGGCCAGCTCAGGTTAAAGGAAATTGGATGTGCTATAAATAGCAGACTGAGAAATGGAGACAGAGTGGTAGGGTTCAGGAGAGAAATTGTCCCCTTGCAAGGGAACGAAGGCCAGGAAGTCCCAAGAAAGAAGGAGCCCGTGATCCACATGCTTGGCCAAAGGTAAACCCAATGGTGTCATCTACCTTTACCAAGGGAACCTTGAGATCTGGCTTCTTCAATTGAAACAGGCTACAGCAAATCAATTACTGCAATTTAGCTAAGGGGTGGTACCTGTTCATTTTCAATTTGGTGTCAACACCATGAAAGAGAATACTCGAGGCTAAGCCAGCTTAGAAAATTTCTCCCTTTCTAGATGCATGGCTGGATGAAAGAATACAGACATTCTCAACCCAAAAACCCTCACTTTGTCACAAAAGACAAGTGAGTAAACTGCTGGGATGTGGAAGCAGATGACAATTTGAAAAACAAAAACCTTTTCCATGTCTGCAGCAGCTCTGAGTTAATGGGAGCCAAAACATTCCCAGTACGCTCACTACCATCTCTGGAATGGAGCTATGTATGTTAATACTTTTCTTACATTTAATAATATCTACTTTTGTTCTTCCTAAACAAAAAATGACAATGCTGGGTTCACTTCTTAGCAGCTAAAGCCGAGGATGAAACATCAAGAGTTTTCCAGGCACAACTACTACAATTTGAGAGGAGTTTGAAAAAGAGAAAGTTGGTGTTATTAGGGAGATGTCATGGAAGGACAGAAATCCCCATGTTACTAGTGTC